CAACTTCTTTTCTTTGGCCTTGGCCTTCCTGGCATCTCTCTCCGCTGCTCTCTACGAAACCAAAAAATAAGACCTTTGACACAGCCTCCCCTTGAAAACCTTAACCCACACAAAAACAAAAAATCAGCTGAACATATTGTTTACTTTGTGTTTATCTGCCGTTGCTCTCAGCTCCAACAACTTCTTCTCAGTAGGATGGACATTGAGCCCCTCGTCACACCACTGGACGGCCTCTGGAAAGTTACGTAGCTCTATACAACACTGAGCACCTGCAGAACCATAAACAGAGGATTCACATGATTGCTTTTTATCATTATCATAATCTAATAATGACTGCTATGCATTGACACATTAGTGGTTGACATGTAAAAAAAAATATAAAAATCTCTACCCCGGTATGTTATTTAATGGTGAAATACTGATGAATACCGTAATATGGTTTTTAAAAAATTTTAAAAATTAAAAAAAACAAAGGACAAGGGAAGGAACCATTATTACTGTGATCCAAAAACAATCTAATTTTACTTTTCATATATTTTCACCATTACTTGTTAAATCATCACAAAGCTGTTGAGTACTGTGTACTATTTGACCATTTGCCAGTTATAACTACTGAGCAACTGTTATAAAGGAACTGTATGAGCTCAGATGATATTTACTAAGCAGCTTTCAGATCAGATCTTTAATACTGTCCACAAACTGATGCACAAAAAAACAATTTAACAGAAATAAAAACCTGGGGCAAATAAACCGTACACCACCTCTCCAATCAGCCTGGCAACACCTGACACTGATCAACCTTAACTTTCTTTGAAAACAAGAAAGTGCTGCTCAGTAGTTGAAGGAGTACAACTCCTACATATTGTTTTATTCTCTTGTTACACATAATGTTGTTTTTTTGTTTTTTAATTGAACATATATTGCATGATAGTACATATTGAAAACTTGGATATTACACACCTCTGATCAAGGCTTTGAGGTGGTCTGGTTTGATCTTCTTTGCAGCTGCAGCATCATTCAGGGCAGAGCGCATGTTACCTGTATGACAGGAAACCAAACATGTCAGATTTTTTCACATTACATCTAAATAACTCAGTGTGACTCTTTGTATGAATGAATACGAGGTGTGTCAGAAAAGTTCCAGGACTGGTGTCACAAAAGATATATTTCAAACCCAAACTAAAAAACTAGGAGTTTTCCCCTTCAGACGATCAACCAGCACGTCTACAAAGAGATTCTGCTGCGTTTGCTTCGTTCAGTGTGCCGGAAGAGGCCAGAGTTGTGGCAGGACAAGTCGTGGCTGCTTCACCATGACAACCTGCTCACAACGCCCTGAGCATCCCACAGTTCCTGGCTGAGAAGAACATTGCCGTGCTGGAGCAACCTCCCTGCTCACCCCACCTGGCTCCATGGGATTGTTTCCTCTTCCCCAAGCTCAAGGGGGTCATCAAGAGGACCCGTTTTGAAGACGTGGATGACATCAAGATGGCTGTGCCGCCGGAGCTGTGGAGGCTTCTGGAAGAATCCTTCCAGGAGTGCATGATGGCGTGGCAGAGAAGGCTGGGAAAGTGTGTTAGACTCCAGGGGGATTACTTGGAAGGGAAAACGTGTAGTTTGTAGCTTGGATTTAAAAAATAGTTTTTGTGACACCAGTCCTGAAATTTCGCTGACACACCTCGTATATCTGGCACTGGCAACATGTGGAAGAAGCTGTGGAAATATCACAGCATTTAATGTTAACACCAGGGATATTTTACCCAGATAGAAGTGTGCGGCTGCTCGGTTGGTGAGGAGAACAGTGTTGAGCTCCTGGTCCCCACATTTCTTGGTCAAACCTGCTGTGTAGGACACCACGGCCTTTTGGTAGTTCTTCTCTTTGAAATATGCATTACCCTCATCTTTCAGCCACTTTGCTTGCTCTGGAAAAGAATCAGTTTCTGTCATTAAAAAGCTGTCTTCAAGTGAAAGCCCTTTAAGCAGCTTTAAGAGCTGCTTCAAAAGATTTAGGGGAGGAAAACTGAGGTCCACTTACCCTCTGGAGGTCGGTCTTCATCGTGGATAATGGACTGCAGACAAGCTAGTTCTGGGAATTTTTGTGGGTCAATCTCCTCGGGGGCTGTTTTCATGAACATGGGGATTTTGTTGAACTCCTGCATGAGACACAAACAGGAGGAGCTCTGAGCACGGACACAACATGAAGCTCTCAACATCCAGTTAGCTTGTTAGCTAAAAACAATAACAACGTTAACACGCCTCAGTCGGGTAACGATATAACTTTCTGTCACTCATAATAGTGATAGATTGTACATGTTACATTACCTCTTCCCAGTTGTTTTCAGTGAAGCCTTGTTTATACCTCTGGCTCTTAAATCTGTCCATGAACTCGTCCATACCGTCGTCGCTGTCGCTCTGCGCCGCAGTTGACGCCATTTTACACCCAAATACGTCGAAACGCTGTTTTGTGGTTTTCAAATCTTATAAAAACTGTGAAAATAGTCTACTGTCACCGGCACATGAGCTGTAAAACGTGAGTTATTCTAGAAGTTGCCTTGTTTACACATGTGCACGAGCGGTACCACGGGAATAAAAGTCCGTGCGGAAACTCTGTCTCAACACATTGGTTCCATGCTGTGGTTTCTTCTTCCTCCAATGCGTTTTTGGCAGCTTGAATAATACTGCTGCCCTCCATCGTCATTTAAACAAGCAGAGTCATACAGTCATCCTCAACTGTACGTCACTTGCAGCGCTGTAGAAAGCATTTAAATCCTATAATTCAGTAGCTTATGCCACACCATAGACATACTAGGCTAAAAGCATTAAATGCAAACAAAAAAAAAAACAAACACCCATGCAATAGATGCATTATTATATATTATTAGATTTAAATGTTGATGCACTAAAATACAGATGGAAAATCACTTCATCCATTGTAAAAGAAAAAAAAAAGATTTGAGCTCCGACTCTTTATCCTTGAAAATTTACCTGAGAAATATGAAAAAAACAACTCTTCATTTATTTATTTGTTTGTTTGTTTGTTTGTTTGCAGCAGCCCTAACCCTCTTCTGTGCATCTCTGGTCATTGATCAAACCTCCAAAACTCATCTCTGTGAATCAAAATTATATGTTTAGAATCTTTTTCCATGAAAAAAAAAAATCCTTTCGGCCTCCAAATGGCTTAAATGTTCCTCGACACCATCGCCTCCTTTAGAATGTACAGATGAATGAGTTCCCTGTGATTAATGTTGGAATATCTGAGCCACAGATGTTTGAACCATACGGGGAAATGCTCAGCTGTGGAGTTGGTTGCTTATTTTGAGAGCGTCTTCTAGCATATAAAAACCATCAAAAGTTAATAAGGTAAAAAAAAACAACCACAACAACATGGTTTTCACTGGAGAAGCTCTTAAATAAGTAAGCAGTACGTTACTGTTGGTTGAGGTGGAGCTCATGTTTCATTACAGTGTTAAAGACTAAAACTTACATTCAGTATATCTGAGCATCTGTAATTATGACATTTTTAATAGTTTTTTTTATATGTTTCATTGTCAAAAGTCTTTTATTCTATATGTAGCTCGTAACTAAAGCAGCCAGATGTAGTGGAGCTGAGTGACATGAATGTGTAACACTCCAGCTATTTGCTAAATGTAGTCACATTCCACCAAATCTTACTTGTACTGTACTTATACTAAACTAACTAAACAGTATGATCCATTCTTGTGGCAGTGAGAAATGTTGAAACTAAACTTGGACCAGCAACAATAAACGCTGCTTCACAGAAATAGAATCCCACTCCTAATGAAACTTATTTACATCTTTGATATTCGTTTGTTCATTAATTTTGCATGCAGGCTTACTTGGTTGAAGATATGAACATTTTATTTTCCCTTACCTGTCTCTGGCTCCCTTTTCCAACCCCTTAATGACATGGTTGTATTTTTATTTGCAGCGATGTGTACCATGAGAGGTGTAGGCTTCAATGTAAATCATTTACAATCATTTCAGTTGATGCTCATATCTTTATTCGCACCAGAACATTAAATACATTGTAGGAACCAAAGCATTTTAAAATCCCAGATCCATCATAAAGCCACTGTTTTAACTCGTGTGTGAATTACAGGCTGTGTACTTTGCAAAATGAATAAGAATGTAATATTCTCGGTCCATCACCTCACACACAGCTCTAACACATACAAACATTTATTTCCACATTCAGAGTTGTCGCTTATACAGTTTCGACTTTTCCCAGTAGGTCTAACAGTCCATCCTTACTGAGAAACATGGTCTCGCCCGTCTGCTGACAGATCACCTCGAACCGGGGTGTTTCCTCCAGAGCTCCCTGTGCTACTACAACAACGTACGGGTAACCCAGTCTGTTGGCGTCCTTCAGCCTCTTTCCAATGGTCATCTGCGTACGATCATCCAGAACAACTTCACCTCTCAAACCAGGCAGAGTCTCTCCCAAAGTATGAATCAGTTCTTCTGCTAAAACTGCCCCTGCGTCCTCCTTACTACCCTTCTTAGGGGGCAAAACACAGACTTGGTAAGGGGCGATTAGACCCGGCCAGCGGATCCCCTCTTCTGTTGACATCACCTCGATGGCTGCAGCAAGAATTCTTGTCACCCCAAGACCAAAGCAGCCCATCTCAGCAACACCAGGCTTGTTCTGGCTGTTGCTGAAGGTAGCTTTAAATATGTGGGAGTACTTCTGACCCAGGTAGAAGGTGTGACCTACTTCTATACCCTTGGACTCTACCAGTGTGCCAGTTTTGCACTGCGGACAGTCTCTTTTGTCTGACGAGAGGGTCTCTATGTTAGCAGAGAAGGAGCAGTTCCCACAGACCAGAAGCCGGTCCTCGCCGATGTCTGCTGGAAGCTGGAACTCATGGGAGAGTTTCCCGCCAATGTTCCCCGTGTCTGCCTGCACCTGAATGCACCGCAGCCCTAACCTGGTGAAGAGCCGGGCGTATGCTTGGCACACAGATTCATACGTCTCATAAGCAGCTTCTTCACTCACATCAAACGAGTACATGTCCTTCATGTAAAACTCCCTCCCTCGAAGAAGACCGAACCTCGGCTTCGGCTCATCTCTGAATTTGCGGGTGATCTGTTTGTTTGAAAAAGAAATCACGATGTAAACCTTGCAGCTTATTACAACACACACAGGTGACAATAATGTGCTGGATGCTCACTTGGTAGAGAAGCAGAGGGAACTGCCTGTAAGAGAGAGTCGCCTGGTGAGCGACGAGAGTCGTCACCGCCTCCTCATGTGTGGGGCCCAGACAGTAGTCGGCACCGTGTCGGTCTTTGAGACGGAACAGCTCGTTCCCCATCAAATCCCAGCGCTGACTGGTCTTCCAGAGATCAGCGGAGCACAAACTGGGCATGTCCAGCTTCTGGCCACCGATGCCATGCATCTCCTGGTCAATCACTCTCACCTGTTCATTAAAGACTGCAGTTACTATAGTTTCAAAACAAAATTTAAAACTGTTGCACTCAACTTTTCAACCTGGTTCATTTCACACTTTAATGGTTTCAATCCCTGGAAGCCAGGACACCTTATAGAGGTTGGACCATAAACAGCAGCGGTCATGGGAGAATATTTCTGCAATAAAAACCCTGCTTTTTTCATATATATATATATATGCTACTTGATAATTTTCCTTTTTACTCCACTAAAAAGTATCTGAATGAATTATTCTGCAAAGAAACTCAGTGAGAAAAATTATATGTAAGTTGATGTGGCAAAACCAATGAATGATGGTTCCCTGACACACAGTATATTATTTCAAACAGGAACTCACCAGCTTCTCCATGGAGCGGACGGTGGCAGGAAGGTAGTAGTAGCAGCCTGGGTTGGATGGGTGAATAAGGCCAGCCTGCTGCATGAGCCTCTGGCTCTTACAGGTCATCTCTCCTGGCAGCCGGCCGTCCTGTCCCAAATCACGCAGGTTTGAAGGCTGGTAGAGTCGAGACACCAGGAGTGGGGGTTTGGTTCGTCTGGACTGAGTGGAGGGGGGGGCGGCTGCCTGCTCTGCACAGCCTGAATGGTTCCTCTTTGGAAGAATCCGGGTTCTGTGCAGGCGGTGAAGAACTCTCTGCCGAACGTGATGCATGACAGGCTCCATGGTCTGTCCAGGTGTGCTGCAATAAAACATCAGCTAAAGCTGAAATATTTAACTCATTTAACTGAAAGAGCAACTCTTTTGATTTCAGATGAATCAGCTCGTCAAAAGAGAGACTCTGCTGCGTTTCAAGTCTTATATGATAATAAAATATTTTTGACTGTTGGTGAAACAAAACAAGCTTTTCAGAGAAACGCTGTACTTCACACAATTCACTTAGCAAGTCGCAAAGGTTGCAAGTTAGGACATATATGTGGGTTCTACTGCGTGAAAGATTTTACAGATTCATGTTGTCTTCCCTCATTCCTTTGACGACATTTAATGCTCCGTCACATGTTTTAAATGCGGTTTACAGTCGACTCTGAACTGAGGCTTAACTTTAAAAGATAACATCACAGTATCTGTCAGAAAAAAACACATGATCCAGACCTATCTTGTGGGCTTTTGTGGAATTGATATCCAATTTATCACAAACACAAAAGCCAGATTTACAAATGATTCTAGGATGTTTTTTGGTACATTAAATGTGCTTGACTTTTTCTTTTTTTTATACTTTTTACACCTTTAACATTCTGAATAGAGCTTTTAAGAAAAGGAAACACTTGTACTGGTTTGATTTTGGATACCTTAACTTATTATGACTTTTCTTTATTTAACCATTATTTTCAGAGTGTCCTGGCCAAGACAGGTCTGACTGCTGTTCTAACCACTGAGACAAACACACAACATGAACTGTACGGAGGTTAATAACATGGATCAGGTGAAGGCAAGGTCGTCTCACATCACTAATTCTTTACAGGTTACTTATTTAATCACCTAGCCGCAGATATATAAACAAATGCAGCACATCGACAGTTGTTTAACACAAAACATGTCACTTTATTTCTGAGGCGATGTTAGCTAGCAGCTAGCAGGCTAAGGTTAGCCTCCTCAGGTAGCGAAAGGTGTGAAGAAGCAACAAAACTCACCTGGAGAGCGACAACTACTGTCTGCCTGTTCTGACGTTATTATATGAGAAAATGGACAAACAGTGTCATTATTGACGAAGTTGGCAAAGAAAGGAAAAACATTGAAGGTGCCTGCTGCTCTACTCCATGCTGCCGGAGCGACACACCGGCAGGCTCTGCGGGTCACAGCGCCGCCTGCAGGTCTGGAGGAGAAGCAGCAGGAGTCTGACCGATGGGTCACCAGCTCCTCTGAAACCACCATCAAACCTGGAAAAGATCCACCTCGAAGCTGCTTATCGATTGTTAGCTTATTCAGATGTTGTGCTGAGTTGTAAATGACAAGCAAAACCTTCAGGACCTTGAGCGAGTTTAATATAATCACGTAATTATAACAGGTCAGACAGCATATCGGCGACCGCATCAGTATCAGTCGATATTGGTGTTTTTTTCCCCCCATATATCATATATCAGTATCAGTCCGATGAACAAATTTAGCAGATGTGAAAAAGTGAGGATTGTCTAACATGAGCGCCTTCGTCTCTACATTTGATATTGCTGCTATTTCACAGATGGTTTTCCTTAAAAAAGATGTTAAAATTAGTGCTGTCAGGCGATTAAAAAAAATAATCTAATTAATTACAGGATTTGTAATTAATTAATCTAATTAATCGCATTTTACCATCGCATCTGCTAAAGGTGCCCAAATAAAGAATTCAAATTCTAGGACATTACAAAATTGTAGTGCTTTACTAATCAATTGAACACACTAAGAAGAGAAGATTTGAAATTCACATTTTTATTGGTAAAGTGTGTTTCATAAATGAAAGTCAAAAGAAAAAGGTCAAGCACATCCCAGCAAACCAACTAGGCCAGGAGCATTATTGGAAAATGCAATACAAATACAGGTAAATAAATAAAATTCAGAAATAAGGCTGNACAACAACATGGTTTTCACTGGAGAAGCTCTTAAATAAGTAAGCAGTACGTTACTGTTGGTTGAGGTGGAGCTCATGTTTCATTACAGTGTTAAAGACTAAAACTTACATTCAGTATATCTGAGCATCTGTAATTATGACATTTTTAATAGTTTTTTTTATATGTTTCATTGTCAAAAGTCTTTTATTCTATATGTAGCTCGTAACTAAAGCAGCCAGATGTAGTGGAGCTGAGTGACATGAATGTGTAACACTCCAGCTATTTGCTAAATGTAGTCACATTCCACCAAATCTTACTTGTACTGTACTTATACTAAACTAACTAAACAGTATGATCCATTCTTGTGGCAGTGAGAAATGTTGAAACTAAACTTGGACCAGCAACAATAAACGCTGCTTCACAGAAATAGAATCCCACTCCTAATGAAACTTATTTACATCTTTGATATTCGTTTGTTCATTAATTTTGCATGCAGGCTTACTTGGTTGAAGATATGAACATTTTATTTTCCCTTACCTGTCTCTGGCTCCCTTTTCCAACCCCTTAATGACATGGTTGTATTTTTATTTGCAGCGATGTGTACCATGAGAGGTGTAGGCTTCAATGTAAATCATTTACAATCATTTCAGTTGATGCTCATATCTTTATTCGCACCAGAACATTAAATACATTGTAGGAACCAAAGCATTTTAAAATCCCAGATCCATCATAAAGCCACTGTTTTAACTCGTGTGTGAATTACAGGCTGTGTACTTTGCAAAATGAATAAGAATGTAATATTCTCGGTCCATCACCTCACACACAGCTCTAACACATACAAACATTTATTTCCACATTCAGAGTTGTCGCTTATACAGTTTCGACTTTTCCCAGTAGGTCTAACAGTCCATCCTTACTGAGAAACATGGTCTCGCCCGTCTGCTGACAGATCACCTCGAACCGGGGTGTTTCCTCCAGAGCTCCCTGTGCTACTACAACAACGTACGGGTAACCCAGTCTGTTGGCGTCCTTCAGCCTCTTTCCAATGGTCATCTGCGTACGATCATCCAGAACAACTTCACCTCTCAAACCAGGCAGAGTCTCTCCCAAAGTATGAATCAGTTCTTCTGCTAAAACTGCCCCTGCGTCCTCCTTACTACCCTTCTTAGGGGGCAAAACACAGACTTGGTAAGGGGCGATTAGACCCGGCCAGCGGATCCCCTCTTCTGTTGACATCACCTCGATGGCTGCAGCAAGAATTCTTGTCACCCCAAGACCAAAGCAGCCCATCTCAGCAACACCAGGCTTGTTCTGGCTGTTGCTGAAGGTAGCTTTAAATATGTGGGAGTACTTCTGACCCAGGTAGAAGGTGTGACCTACTTCTATACCCTTGGACTCTACCAGTGTGCCAGTTTTGCACTGCGGACAGTCTCTTTTGTCTGACGAGAGGGTCTCTATGTTAGCAGAGAAGGAGCAGTTCCCACAGACCAGAAGCCGGTCCTCGCCGATGTCTGCTGGAAGCTGGAACTCATGGGAGAGTTTCCCGCCGATGTTCCCCGTGTCTGCCTGCACCTGAATGCACCGCAGCCCTAACCTGGTGAAGAGCCGGGCGTATGCTTGGCACACAGATTCATACGTCTCATAAGCAGCTTCTTCACTCACATCAAACGAGTACATGTCCTTCATGTAAAACTCCCTCCCTCGAAGAAGACCGAACCTCGGCTTCGGCTCATCTCTGAATTTGCGGGTGATCTGTTTGTTTGAAAAAGAAATCACGATGTAAACCTTGCAGCTTATTACAACACACACAGGTGACAATAATGTGCTGGATGCTCACTTGGTAGAGAAGCAGAGGGAACTGCCTGTAAGAGAGAGTCGCCTGGTGAGCGACGAGAGTCGTCACCGCCTCCTCATGTGTGGGGCCCAGACAGTAGTCGGCACCGTGTCGGTCTTTGAGACGGAACAGCTCGTTCCCCATCAAATCCCAGCGCTGACTGGTCTTCCAGAGATCAGCGGAGCACAAACTGGGCATGTCCAGCTTCTGGCCACCGATGCCATGCATCTCCTGGTCAATCACTCTCACCTGTTCATTAAAGACTGCAGTTACTATAGTTTCAAAACAAAATTTAAAACTGTTGCACTCAACTTTTCAACCTGGTTCATTTCACACTTTAATGGTTTCAATCCCTGGAAGCCAGGACACCTTATAGAGGTTGGACCATAAACAGCAGCGGTCATGGGAGAATATTTCTGCAATAAAAACCCTGCTTTTTTCATATATATATATATATGCTACTTGATAATTTTCCTTTTTACTCCACTAAAAAGTATCTGAATGAATTATTCTGCAAAGAAACTCAGTGAGAAAAATTATATGTAAGTTGATGTGGCAAAACCAATGAATGATGGTTCCCTGACACACAGTATATTATTTCAAACAGGAACTCACCAGCTTCTCCATGGAGCGGACGGTGGCAGGAAGGTAGTAGTAGCAGCCTGGGTTGGATGGGTGAATAAGGCCAGCCTGCTGCATGAGCCTCTGGCTCTTACAGGTCATCTCTCCTGGCAGCCGGCCGTCCTGTCCCAAATCACGCAGGTTTGAAGGCTGGTAGAGTCGAGACACCAGGAGTGGGGGTTTGGTTCGTCTGGACTGAGTGGAGGGGGGGGCGGCTGCCTGCTCTGCACAGCCTGAATGGTTCCTCTTTGGAAGAATCCGGGTTCTGTGCAGGCGGTGAAGAACTCTCTGCCGAACGTGATGCATGACAGGCTCCATGGTCTGTCCAGGTGTGCTGCAATAAAACATCAGCTAAAGCTGAAATATTTAACTCATTTAACTGAAAGAGCAACTCTTTTGATTTCAGATGAATCAGCTCGTCAAAAGAGAGACTCTGCTGCGTTTCAAGTCTTATATGATAATAAAATATTTTTGACTGTTGGTGAAACAAAACAAGCTTTTCAGAGAAACGCTGTACTTCACACAATTCACTTAGCAAGTCGCAAAGGTTGCAAGTTAGGACATATATGTGGGTTCTACTGCGTGAAAGATTTTACAGATTCATGTTGTCTTCCCTCATTCCTTTGACGACATTTAATGCTCCGTCACATGTTTTAAATGCGGTTTACAGTCGACTCTGAACTGAGGCTTAACTTTAAAAGATAACATCACAGTATCTGTCAGAAAAAAACACATGATCCAGACCTATCTTGTGGGCTTTTGTGGAATTGATATCCAATTTATCACAAACACAAAAGCCAGATTTACAAATGATTCTAGGATGTTTTTTGGTACATTAAATGTGCTTGACTTTTTCTTTTTTTTATACTTTTTACACCTTTAACATTCTGAATAGAGCTTTTAAGAAAAGGAAACACTTGTACTGGTTTGATTTTGGATACCTTAACTTATTATGACTTTTCTTTATTTAACCATTATTTTCAGAGTGTCCTGGCCAAGACAGGTCTGACTGCTGTTCTAACCACTGAGACAAACACACAACATGAACTGTACGGAGGTTAATAACATGGATCAGGTGAAGGCAAGGTCGTCTCACATCACTAATTCTTTACAGGTTACTTATTTAATCACCTAGCCGCAGATATATAAACAAATGCAGCACATCGACAGTTGTTTAACACAAAACATGTCACTTTATTTCTGAGGCGATGTTAGCTAGCAGCTAGCAGGCTAAGGTTAGCCTCCTCAGGTAGCGAAAGGTGTGAAGAAGCAACAAAACTCACCTGGAGAGCGACAACTACTGTCTGCCTGTTCTGACGTTATTATATGAGAAAATGGACAAACAGTGTCATTATTGACGAAGTTGGCAAAGAAAGGAAAAACATTGAAGGTGCCTGCTGCTCTACTCCATGCTGCCGGAGCGACACACCGGCAGGCTCTGCGGGTCACAGCGCCGCCTGCAGGTCTGGAGGAGAAGCAGCAGGAGTCTGACCGATGGGTCACCAGCTCCTCTGAAACCACCATCAAACCTGGAAAAGATCCACCTCGAAGCTGCTTATCGATTGTTAGCTTATTCAGATGTTGTGCTGAGTTGTAAATGACAAGCAAAACCTTCAGGACCTTGAGCGAGTTTAATATAATCACGTAATTATAACAGGTCAGACAGCATATCGGCGACCGCATCAGTATCAGTCGATATTGGTGTTTTTTTCCCCCCATATATCATATATCAGTATCAGTCCGATGAACAAATTTAGCAGATGTGAAAAAGTGAGGATTGTCTAACATGAGCGCCTTCGTCTCTACATTTGATATTGCTGCTATTTCACAGATGGTTTTCCTTAAAAAAGATGTTAAAATATATTTAAATATGTTTAAATAGGTTTTACTTTCATTATGTAATAAAGACGATGTGGTCTAATTTGGTATGGGCTTCTTTTGAATAGTTTTCACATTCTCACAGTGTTTATTTACACTCCTTTTTCGTTGTGAACAAAAATGGAATATCAACATCGGTAATATCGGTTATCGCGATATCAGAAATCTTAATATCGGATATCGGTATCAGCCAGACGTTTTAACATCGTGCATCACTACTAAAAAGATGTAGCTACACCTCTTCAAAACACTTGTATTTGTTATATCTATTCCTTTTTTTTAAACTTTGTGCCATGTATCCACTTTCTAAAGCTTCTGTCTTCACCTTCAATCCCTCATACCATCCTGGAAAACAATGACTAGTGCACATTGGATACATATAGATATCATTTTTAAAAAACACGTTGTCGTTGTACTGTTCACTAAAACAATTCACAATGAAGGCTTTAGATTCTTTGTTCGTTTGTGAATTGCAATTTTATTCAAGAGAGCAAAAGCTACAGCGACAAAACCATAAGCAGTGGGTCAGCGTGCATGTCGGTTGTTAAAGATGCTGCTGCTGTCTGAGGACACTGGTTCACCGTCTAGCTGAAAGTGGAAGAAGTCTTTGTTTCACACCAAAAAATGAGACACAACAGTGGATCAGTGAAAACAACTGCTGCAAACATTCAATTAAATGTTCAAAAAAATGTTGTTTTTTTTTCATCGCCATGTTGTTTAAATTCTGGATTTAGACTTTATAAAGCTGAGGACAGGAAGTGTTTACTGTGAATGGTAAGGACAGCGGAGGGGAAATGGACCAAGGTTCAATGGCCCGAAAACACATTTTAACGAGCCATTTGGTTTTGACATTACTTCATTTCCTCGCTGACTCATGCTATATATTACATAAAACTTTCTATAAAATACTTCTCTTTGCATAACCATTATGGCTGTTTTTCCAGAGAACATGCCGTGTGTGAGGTTAATCTCTGTCCAGTGAAGCCGAAGCATCGCCGCAGGACAGGCAGCCATAAAACTTATCAGTTAAGGATGTTTTTAATGTTGCATTCTGCGTAACCTTAATGTCAGAAAAGGGGTGACCTCACGAAACATAAAATCTGTTAAAGACATCGTATTATGGTGCATCCTGACGTTTTAATGTTTTTTTTTTTTTTACTGCTGGTGAATCAGTGTGTTTGTAGATGCAGGAACATAACAGGTTATTAAAAGTTTTAAAGTAGCTGTATGATACAATATGCAGCTCAATTTAGATTAGAGGTTCACATTTTAATTCTGGTTTGTTTGTTTTTTTAAATCTAAATTATGTCTCTTTCACTTTTATTTTTTAGTCCTGACGCATGTGAAGGCCTCATCTCCTCTTCTTACCCTTCCATTAAAGAAAAGGCAAAATTCACAATAATCACTCAAATAATTAGAAACTGAAAAAAATAATA